CCTGTGACTGTCAGTGGCTGCAGCAGCGGGGTGATGGGGCTGATGCCTTCCCCTGATCAGCCTGGTCACCTCCCACAAAGGGAGGACAGACTGCGGCTTAAGCCTGCTCCCCATGGGGAGCAGGGATCAGGCCTAAGCCATCAGTAGGACATCCCCTGAGGGCTCCCAGTATGTGAGAGGGGGCAGGCTGGGCTGACGGACACCCCCCCCGCCGCCGTGCATGAATTTCGTGCACCAGGCCCCTAGTGTTAATATAAAAATGTAGGGTTAAATATGTAAGGACAACCATTAGCAATATTAAAGACGGGAATCAAAGCACCAGATAGGAGAGAAAAGGAATAATAAAAATTTTACCATCTAGCAAAAATCAGGAAAGGAAAAATATGCAAACAAGAAAACATAAAAAGTTGGAACTAAAATATGAAAGGCATACCATGTCCTTCTTCATTACTCATCTGGAATTCATCTTTCCTCTCTCACACCCCATGTTTGTGTGGTTGCTTTTTCCTTGGAAATAACTCTTGCGTCTGGCTCTTTTCATTCCAACTACCACCCCTCTTATTCCCTTGGTCCTGTACTAATGCAGTAGCTCTAGCACAATGTATCCTACCTTGGCCTCACCACAGCAACTAGAGCAGTCATCATAAACATACTATTACACCCCTGCTCAAAAGGGCTCCCCATTCCTTACCATATACCCTTCTTATCTGATTTTCAAGACCTTCTATAATCTGACCCCAGCTAGCTGTGTTTATCAATTCTAAAATATATTTTTAAAAATAAAAAGAACATTTAAAATATCTCTGAAATCAGAGTGCATCTTATTATTGATGGCGATCATGACATCAAAGATTTGATAAAATATGGTTCTTTTCTCAGTCCTTGCTTGTCTACAGGACACCTCTTTCTAGAAAACAGAACTTCTCATGTTGCTGTGCTATGATTCTTTCACAGCTCCAAACTTTTATTCAGACATTTTCCTCTGCCTGAGTATTTCTTTCCCACAGCCTCCCTTCCTAAATGAGCCCATCTTTGTTCACTATCTCAGCTGGAATCAACCTTCCCTTTGAATTCTCTGGGTTGTTTTTTTTTTTTGGGGGGGGGGCATGTTATAATTCTAGCAACTCTTATCACATAGTTTCTTTCAGTTTAAATACTTGTGTACATATTTGGTCTGTACACAGGACTGCTAGAATCCTGCAAATCCTTGACAAGGCAGCTAAAATTGTGACATTTTCTGAAAGTCTATAGGTTTGTTTTGCTAATGCAATCCAGGACATTTGTTTCTTTAAAAATCTGTGAGTCAGTAAGTGCTGTGCTCTGAACTGCCCTCTAGAGGTAGAACATCATCAGTGAGTCAGAGGCCAGAAAACCATGGATTCAGCAAGAGATAAGATGCCCAGCTGGGATGGGGAGCTGCTAGAGGGGCTGCTCTATGGGCAGGACTCACTGATTGGCCCTGTTCCTGGGAGTAGCCATTGCAAAGGTCAAGCTCTGAAAAAACATGTTGCTTAGAGATTGCCAGCCTCTCCACCACCCTGTGTTTCATCATGATGTCTTGAGAGGGTGGGGCCGAGTGACAGACTCTTAGTTTTTCAATTTACCCTTCCCTCAGGAAGTCCAGATGAGACTGCAAGTCTAAGAACCCTGAGTTACCTCAACTGGCACCAACAGGGAAACACTGAATGTAACCCAGCCCTGTTGGTGGGCGTAGCCTGGAAAGAGGACTGACTACATGTGCACGTCATCTCTCTCACTAGTCATTTTGAATTCTCCCAAGTTATATGCATAAATCTTTGCTGCAATACATTTATAGGGATTTCTCCCAGTAGACTTTTATGGCCACAGAAGATAAAAATTTGTTCAAATATTTTCTTGTTATTGCCATGATATTCTGTGGCTAAATTTTAAATGACTTGTGAAATTTCCTGCTCATTTATCCTCCCTAAGGCTAATGCCATTTTCAGTAAGGTTGTCCCAGTTAACCAACTTTCCGTGGGCAATCTCTCCAGCCTCAGTTTCTACCAGCTGAGGGGTTAGATTCGAGAAGCTTGAAGTCCCTGCCAGCTTCAACATTCTAATATCTGCTCAGGACTCTTCATAACCCACCTCCCAGGTTATTTAATGAGTTTGAAGCTCATTTTTCTCTGAGGCAAAGTGTGATCTGGGCATGTCCCTTGAAAGCCTTCCATAGGATATGACTGCTCTCCATGACTTCACACCAGAAGGCCTTGAGTAAAGATCACTATTGAGCTGATTTTGCCAGAAGAAACAGTTTTGTTTTAAGAATGTTTTCCTTCCCTGGTCGATGTGGCTCAGTTGGTTGAATGTGGTCCCATGCACTAAGAGGTTGCTGGTTTGATTCCGGTCAGGGCACATGCTAGGGTTGCAGGCTCAATGAATGTTTCTCTCTTGTTGATGTTTTTCTCTCTCCCTGGCCCTTCTTCTCTCTCTAAAAAAATCAATGAAAACATAAAAAAAAGTGTTTCCTCACTTAAAAAGTCTTAAGTGGTTATTACAGACAATGTATACAATATAGAAAACTATAAAGAAGGAAATAAGAATCACTTAAACTCTGACCTCTCATTATTAATACTATGGCATGTACCCTTACAATAATTTTTCTTTCCATGTATAATCACATGATTTTAAAATGTTTGATAGAAAATCGGAACCATACTTTTCAAACTGAGTTAATATCCTGGGTGCTGGTTATATGACTGTGTTCATTATGTGAAAATACAATGAACTATACACTCATGATAAGTGTACTATTTTGTATGCATGATGTACTTCAATAAAACATTTAAATAAACATTTTATATGAATAAACTGAATTAGACACAGGAAGATCCATCTCTGTTAAGACTAGTGGTTCTTTTTGAGGTCTACCAGATTTAGCAAATAAAAATGCAGGATGCCCAGTTAAAGTTGAATTTCACATAAACAACAAATTATTTTTTAGTATAAGTATGTCCCATGTAATATTTGGGACATGTTTATACTAAAACAGTGTTCATTGCTTATCTGGAAGTCAAATATACTGACCATCCTGAATTTTATCTGGCAACCCTAGTCTTAAATCTTCTAAATATGTATATTTTATTTAATGAGAAAGTAAAAACGGATATGTATTGAATGGTATATATTCAGGACATATAGTCTTAGAAGGAAATATTAAAATGTGTAAGTAAAGTGTAGGAGACAGAACTGAGAAAATAAGTGCTCTAGTTTTTTATTTTCTTTATTCCGCCTTCATTTCATACCTCTCTTCTGTTGTTTTTGATTTCTCATTCCCACATTCATGTCAATAAAAAGAAGACAAATAAGCCAAAGAAATAAGATAGTGTCAAAATAATTTACGCTTTCATTGATTGAGTTTGAATTTGCAGCTCTGTTGCTGCCGTTTCTGAAAATTTCATTTCTGATTTGTCTGTGTTCTTGTTTCCTATTTATTAGTAAAAATATAACTGTTTTCTATTTCACTCTTTTTCAGAACTCTGTAACCTTTGCCCAGATGGAAGTTGAACCCTTCGCAGTATAATCAGTGTGTTTTTTTTTTTTTAAGGCTAAACTTGAAAAATCTATTTATTGATTTCAAACAGGTCATTTTCCACTTTTCTCTTTCCAACAGTGTTAACTCATATGTTCCTGGTACATTTCAACTATGGTTCTTACAATTGGTAGCTTTTTTTTAATTAAATATATTTTATTGATTTTTTACAGAGAGGAAGGGAGAGAGATAGAGAGATAGAAACATCGATGAGAGAGAAACATCGATCAGCTGCCTCCTGCACATCCCCCACTGGGGATGCGCCCGCAACCCAGGTACATGCCCTTGACCGGAATCGAACCTGGGACCCTTCAGTCCGCAAGCTGATGCTCTATCCACTGAGCCAAACCGGTTTCGGCCAATTGGTAGCTTTGAACCAAGTTTTCAGAATCCATCTCACTTCCTTTTCTATGCTTCTCGCTCTTAAAGGTGAGGAAATTCCAATACAAATTATTTAGAACAACTAGACTCTGTCAGTTAAATGGAATCAAGTCCCAAAGGTTTTATGCTTTAACACATTTCCATTATATATGGGTGGTAATAAAGTGAAATTATTTCCTGCTTCCCCAAAGGCTTCCAGGTCATAATTTTGAACACCCAGAGTGTTACCACTTTAGAGTAAAATTCTCAAATCAAAAAGCATTTAAACAGTAAGTACATCTCCTAAAATACTTGAGAAGAGGATGAAGGAGAAAAAGAAGGAAACTGCATATCATAAGGTATCTCAACAAACCACATTTGGAACCATTGCTTTAACTTTCTTTTAGAAAGTTAGTGGTTTCTCTGCAATATTGCCATCTAATGTATATTTCTGCTTGAATCACTTCACTAATTGTTGATCCAGTGATTTCTAAATGATTCCAGACAACAACTTTTACTAATTATTTTTCACATAGGTGATTGAATTGACTGGTTATCTTTCTTGTTGTCATGGAGACTAAACCTTTTAAAAATTATATACTAGTACATAATTTATATATATTACTCCTGTGTTAATAACTTTTACTATTAGCTGTTACCTTCACTAAAGAGGGGAGGCAGAATGATAAAGGTCTAATACATATGTGCACAGGAGAATTTAAAAATGCACAAAGACACATTAGCATGAAAGCATCACAAATTATGCAAAAGAAAGCATTATAAAACCATATTGGTATAGATACATAAATCAAATAGCTCTGAATTTTTCAGTAAACTTCTTTCATAAGCAAAACCACAATGAGATATCACCTGACACCTGTCAGAATGGCTATCATCAATAAGTCAACAAGTGTTGGCGAGGATGTGCACTATTGATGGGAATGTAGATTGGTGCAGCTACTGTGGAAAACAGTATGGAGTTTCCTCAAAGAATTAAATATGAATCGCCCCACAGATGATTCCAGGATCTGGTGGCATTTGCTTCTTGGTCACCACCAAACTTGACCAGAAAAAAAAAATTGAAAATGGAACTGCCTTTTGACCCACGATCCCACTTCTGGGAATACATTCTAAGAAACCCGAAACACTAATTCAAAAGAATATATGCACCCCTCTTCATTGCAGCATTATTTACAATACGCAAGATCTCGAACAGCCTAAGTACCCATCAGTAGATGAGTGGACAAAAAAGCTGTGGTGCATTTACACAATGAAATATCACTCAGCAGTTAAAAAAAAAAAAAGGAATCTTACCTTTTGTAACAGCATGGATGAACCTGAAGATTATTATGCTAAGTGAAATAAGGCAGTCAGACTGACAGCCATCAGAGGGGAGGGTGGTTGGGGGACTGGATGAAAGAAGGTGAAGGGATTAAGCAAACAAAACAAAAAACACCACAAAACATATATGCATAACACATAGACAACAATGTGGTGATAGCCAGAGGAAAAAAAGGATGAGGGGTAAGGGGAGGTGGGCAAAAGAGGCAAGGAGGAATGGGAATGGAAAAAGACTTTGCTTGGGAGGCTGGGAGAATGATGCTGTGTGCAGATGATGTTTTATTAAGCTGTACACTTGAAACTTGTATGGTTTTGTGAACCAATGTTAACCCAATAAATTCAATTTAAAAATAAATTAATTTTTAGAAACTTCCTTCATAAGCATTACTAAAGGTCTGTTAAGCAATAGAAGACTTATACAATTGCAGAACCTTTAACAAATCTAATAGTATTTTCAAGTCTAATAGTTCTCCTGCAAATGCAATAGTGATGTGTAGCAACTAAATAAGCTCTGAGGAATGTGCTGGGTTGTTAACAATTACCAGTTACTTGCCCTTGTAGTCTAACATTCCTATAACATAAAAGGTCTCAAAAGTCTGTCCCCACCTACTTTTCCAACCTTATTTACCGTAACTCCCTCACCTGCCTTGAGTTATTTCTGGCCAGGTCTCTGTTGGCTCTAGAAAAATGTCTCCGTCCCCCTGCCAGAGTGCCACCTTCTTCACTTCCTCCCTGCTGGCCAAAATACTTCCCACTGGCCAGGCCCAGCTCCAAACCCACCACCTTCATTAAATTACATCTGCCCACTCTAGTCCATAGCCACCTTTTCTTTTGCCTAGCTGTATTATTAAATTATTGTCTATACCACTAATGTGGTATTTTTATTAACATACTAGAGGCCCAGTGCACAACATTCGTGCTGGGGTGGGGGTGGGGGGTCTCTCAGCCTGGTCTGCGCCCTCTCGCAGTCCAGGACCCCTCAGCGAACATCCCCCAAGGGGTCCTTAGTGCCAGCCATGAGTTGGCTTCTGGTTGAGTGGCGCTCCCCCGTGGGAGCACACTGACCACAAGAGGGCAGCTCCTGCATTGAGCGTCTGCCCCCTGGTGGTCAGTGTGTGTCATAGTGACTGGTCGTTCTGCCGTTCAGTCAATTTGCATATTAGCCTTTTATTATATAGGACTAGCTTACACCATCTTCTGCAGCATTTCCTTAGAGTTAATATTCATGGGTTTGTGAACATACTTTTATACATTATAAAGCATCATACCAAAGTAAATATATTATTGTCTTCATTAACTAGTTTATAGCCCCCCATAGATGAGGATTGTGCATACATTTTTTTTTTTGCATGACATCTAGGAGAACAATGCATACTCCATGGCTCCTCAATTAAAATCTTCTGATGAATGAATGCATGGAAGACCAGCAGAATTGGAGGTAAACCACCAAAGTTCGCATTTGTCACTTTTTACCTGTCTGAATTTGAACTAG